CGTGAGACATGCACAAGGCATGATCAAATGATCAGAGCGAGCATATGTACAATAGCGGTGTAAGTACATAGGTAAACAATAAAAATGGTGGGGATCAGAATGAAAACACAGTGTGAAAGGAACACAAACCGGACAAGGTCACCGACGAATTTATGGAAGATGGAGGATGCATTGAAAATGCATGTCACTAGAACTGGAAGTAATGGTAAAACTGGTCTCGGAGGGATTGGACGTACGACAACAGTGCAGGGAAATACAGAGAGGCGATTTGTCGAACGAATGCTGCCTGATGGTGGAGGCATGAGGACAGGAATAGAAAGGAAGGAATACAGCCAGAAAAAATGCGTCGGTAAAGGAACATGTTTCNTATGCTGCAATACAACTCGCTTCTGGAGACAAGTTCATTTGGTTCGGGGCATCAATCGACCAAGCAGTGATTTGGATTATTTAGATTAATTAGGCGATGGTCGCTTTGATGTGGGACTGACTACACACTAGACACCTAACCTTAAAACACCTTGTAGTTGAGGCAGGGGGTGTGATCCTCAACCTGGTCCGGAACGCGGACGCATGTAGTCAAAACGGTGGAAACAGCCGTGCTCAACAACCATTGCCGGAGCCAAATTGTCCATTGTGGGTGAGAACACCAAGCCTTCGGCAGGCCCAAACCAACCGAATCTGGAACAAAGAGGCGATATGCAGCAGTGTGGGGTAATACCCAGCTGAAGAGAGAAGGGAGAAGGGGAAACGGAGCATGTGACAGAACAAAACTAAAAATAAGTGCACACCTAGCACGTTTTACCAAAATGATGGGGTGCCGGAGTGAATATAGGACCATGACCAGGAGTTGCAGCGCTGTAAGACGATAGAATGCTTCTGAAAGTGCACACCAGAGCTTTGAATTCCACAGATCCGGCTGTGAAAGTGAATACACGTACTCTTAAGAATTGTTTGCCAAAGTGGACACAACTATCAGGATAGCATATACCACGGAGGGACGCCGGGGAAATTTGCTGAGAATGATACGAGCAATATGTTGCATGCTAGATATTAGGTCACAATACATGTACGAAGGAAATTTTAGTAGCACCGACACCATTTGAGCGGAAGTGCTCAAACGGAAATCCTAAACCTTAACTCAAATAAAATCATTGATTTCGATTTGGCTCTGAAGCGACAAAACAGATTCATCGAGGACAAGAGGTGTAGGGAGTAAGAATGAAAATAGAAAACCTAGAGACAATCTGACTGAAGATTGGAGGCATTCAGCAGACAAGATACCAGACAGGGTAGGATTAGGTGGGAGAAGCAGGATACTTCAAGTGAAGAAACCAAGGTTTACGAAGGACATTTTAGTCTAAGCAATACCAATATATCTGCTTGCAGTGCACAAATGTGCGCATCTGGATAGTGAACAAATTTTTACATGCAATTAAGTAAAATTTATATAATGCACGCCTAGAGATACGAAAGACATTTAGGACACCTTGTCCTCAAAAAAGTCTCTTCTATTTTTATACTTTTCCGTTTTGTTTTTGTTTTTGCATGCACAAAATGCACAACGTCAACAAAAATTGACTAAATGCAGTTGGGATAAATGCATCAAAAACTAGAACGCGGTGGATGGAGAGATGGATGAACGGATCGAAAGGGAGCAACTATTGGGTGTTGGTGGTAGCGTGTTTAAGACAAAGAATAGATCGAGCTAGTATTTGAACATGCTCTTTGAAGGCGCGTCAACAACCTCCTGCTGGAGGCTGTTCCAAATGGAATGACTCTATCGGTAAAGAACCAGTGACGAACTTGGGGGCAGGCCAGAGGCTTAAATAGCTTTTTGCTATGACCACAATTAGTATCTAAGCTACATGGGGTGAAACACTGGTTGACCGTGTCCGTGGAGAATAATTGATAAAGAAGAAAAAGGTCCGAATACAGTGGGTGTTTAGAGGGTAAAGGTTTAGTGTGGTGAGATTGGTGGAGTATGGAACATGGAAGAGATCTGAGACTGGCTTTGTGGCTGCTCGCTTAACTCGTTCGAACGAGTTACGATCACCCACAAGCCCAGAGCACGCGATTTGGGCTCCGTATTCTAATAGCGGTCTTACATAAGTGCCATAAAGAGTTGAAAGTCTTCTTCATCAAAGTGAGGGAACGAGTGTTCGATAAAGGTGAGTACCCCAAAAGCCTTTCTTCGGGGCTTTTTGGTGGTGGCAAGAAAAAGATAGAGTTAGTTGATCAGAAGCCAAGGATCATATGCTGGTTGCCAGTCTGAAGTCGTGGTGTGTTGCGCACATTGAAGGTGTGCGCGCAGCCCCTGACAAGGGACATACCTGAACATTTATCATCATTTATCGGTAGGCTCCAGTCTTATGACCATGCTTTGGTGATAGCCATAGCTGCCTGCACTGCTGATTGATCACTCCCCCATATTGTGACATCGTCAGCATAGATAGCAATGTGGACGGGAATTTTGTCCGGGAGGTCATTTATGTATGATGTGGAAAGGAGTGGACCTAGGACGGATCCCTGGGGAACACCTACTATCAGCGGGGAACCGTTGGAGAAAGAGATTCCTGCTCTAACAGAGAAGGAGCGTGCAGATAGAAATATTCCTAGAAGATTAACAAACCTGCCTCTAATATCAAACACTTCCGGCTTGGCCATTAGTGGAGAATGCAGTACGCAATAAAGGCTTTGGCAAAATCTATGAAGATGGCATGTGAGATTTTACCATCATTATAGGTTTGGATTTGACTTTCTATGACATGTAGCATATTGGTGATGCATAATCTGCCTGGAATGAAGCCGTGTTGAAAGAAGGTGGTTTCCTTCGGATGTTCAATAATCGGTCTCCTAATGAGACGTTCAAACATTTTGCTGGGGACGTTAGTTAGATTTATCGATCTGTAGCTGCTGGCGTGATGCCGGGGTCCCTTTTTGTAGATCTGTGATGTACTAGCCTATTTAGAGGCATCAGGGAATTCAATTTTATCTAGGCAGTTCTGAAACGATCGCCCGTAATGTGGGACTAGTACAGCTTCTGTCTCTGAGTATTCTGGGATTGACCTCGTCTGGGCCCATTGAGCCAGAAGAGTTTAGTGGCTTTAGAGTTTCGGGTACTTCTTCGGCCTGAACAGTGAAATGCTATAAGGGAGCTATACCTGACTTAAGCTGCAGAGCAGGAAAGAAAGTGGGTAGAGCGAAGTTGAAAATATCTTAGAAGTGAGTTCGGAAACTGTCCACTACCTCTTAAGTTGAGGTAATTGGGGAGCCGTCAGGAAGTTTCCGGACTAGAGTAGAGGAACTGCGTTGTCTTTTATGGCGTGGAAGTTTGAATAGGCCGGAGGGGTTTTTTCTTGCTCTGGTTAAGATACCTTCTTGTTACCGGTTGAAGAACTTCCTAATCTTGCTCTTGCATAGGTTTTGGATATACTTGAATTTATCCGCGTCGCTATCCAAGTTTGTCAGCTTGTATCTTGCAAAGAGGACGCTTCGTTCTTCCAGAAGTCGTGAAAGAGGAAGGCGGCTGTTGGTTGGGGTAATTATCTTGGGAACGAATACGCATTCGCCTGTTTGGAGTACGTTCTCAGTTTGATTCCTGAATCCCTTTGTTTCTGGAGATAAGTTAACAGAAGTCAGATTTCCTGCCAAGGAATCTCTTAGAGCAGCGAAGTTAGCCCGTTTGAAGAACCGAAAGGCTCCTAATGCTGATTTATAAGATGTCCAATGAACGATGAAATCAAAGCTCAAGAGAAACTGGTGACTCTTTGTCAGCAAGGTTAAATTCCAAAATATCCGGTCGAAAAAGTCATATGTTTGGCGACAATAGCCAAAAGCCCAGCTGAGTGAGTCACCGGCCCACAATGATCGATCACTGTATTTCACCACAGACGGTACGGCGTTTTTGGTTGGTCAGAAAGCGTAACCAACAGGGTGGTTCGAAGACTCTGATTCGTCAATTGATATCAGAAAGCACCTGACGCAATAAAAAGAACGAATTGTAACACGTAAAGGACGATACAAAAAGGAGGACACTTTTTCAAATATACAGTCCTGTGCCATTTTGATTGTGTTCTCTTCTTCGGCTCGAAAGTTGATGGTGCGATAGCAGTCTCAGCAACAGTCAGTACACAACAGATTTGGCGACAGGAAACTTATGCAAAATGTCCATAACCGCTGAAGAATTAAAAGCAATCCTGCATCAACAGCAAACTCAATTTAAAGGGGCGCTGTTGCGTTTGACAGAAACATTGACGCAAAAACGAGGAGTTCAGTCATCAAGTCAAGTTCCAGATTCAAATCTAGTCGACGCAATTGTGAACAGAATCACGGAGTTCCATTTTGAACTTGATGCTTGCATTTTTTTATTCGTGTTTCAAACGATACACAGATATTTTCAAATTCGGGCTGAAGAACAAAGATGATGCATGGAGAGTGAGGTTGTTGCTGAGGAACCTTGGGATCACCGAACACACGCGCTGCACCAATTTCATTTTACCCAAAGATGCCCACGATTTCACCTTTGACGAAACTGTCCAGCAATTGTCGGAAATTTTCGGTGACCGTTCGTCCTTGCTTAATATTCGTTACCATTGCACGAAACTGGTCAAACAAGAAGATGAGGATTTCATTACTTATGCCGGTAGAAACAATCTTAAATGCGAACAATTCAAGTTATCTACTATGAAAAGATTAGTTCAAATGCCTAATTTACGTCTGTGGTCTCCAGTTCCATTCTGACAGTGAATACAGAACATCATTGTCAAACAAAATCGAACGATCTTCTGGTATAACGTTGCAAGAGGTCACTCGTGAGTTCCGACGTGTTATGAATCTCAAAAGCGACACAAACATGTTGGAGCACCCGTCATCCAACAACCTTTTTCATGTGGCGCAAACATCTTCCAAACAGCCTGATGCAGTAACTGGCCCTGCTGNCCCTGCTGGAGCAAGCCCCCATCAGCTTGCTGACAGTGCGGCGGGTGGCACTTTGGGGAACTCTGCTCTTAAAAGAAACACAAATGTACACTGTGCAATCGTCGTGGCCATAAAGAGACATAATGCCAAACCAAAAGGCACAACAGAACGCTCAGCCGCTACAGCAGATCAAGTAGCACGAAATTCTCAACCCAAATTCAATGCTTTCCTTGCCACAATCAAACAAAATTTCCAGTTACGTCGGAAGTACGTGACGGCCGAAACAAACGCAAAAACATTTCGTTTGCAGCTCGATACGGCCTCCGACATCAAACTGGTATATAAACGTACTTTGAACAAAATTGGCAGCCCAAGGTACACACCAACAATTAACACGGCCAGAAACGCCTCAGGAGGTAAAATCAAATTACTTGGGAAATTCGAGTGTGAGATGAAAATAGCAAACCAGCGAGGTCGTGGATCAATCGCTTTAGTCGATTGTGAATTGGACTTGCTTGGTATGGATCGGATCGATCGCCTGCAACTTATAAATATGACAATCGAT